TAAACCCTTACTGCAAAGGTAGACACATTTATTACCAGGCACTAAATGTATAGAAAATAAACCATGTTGTTTTGATTGAAGCTGGTTTGTTAACATATTATTTACTGTCAGCCCTGTGTTATATAAATCATTAAGCGCACCTCCTTGAATCTTCAAAGTAAATTGAAATTGACGCTGAATGTGGAAGAAAAAACTAAACATTATTATTATTAAATAAGTAAAAGAAATAATAAATAAGACTTACTCACAATCAGTTTAATTAAACTATCCAGACGACCGGTTTCGCTTTCTACAATTTGCAAAGCATCTTCAGGTCTGTCGATACAAAGTTAATTAAATGATGCTGGTAAGAAATATTATACATTAGTTTAAAGAAATATTAAAAAACTTTAACATCGAAGTGAAAACTTTTGTTGTAATTGGTATACATAAATATATTTCACTAAAAAATTTAATCAAAAATACAAATGGATTACAGTAGTTGATTTTTTCTTTAGAACTAACGTTTTCGGACTTGAGTATCAGTCCATCTTCAGTAAATTTTGAAGTACTTGCGCTAATAACCGCAAAACCAAACAGTAGGTGGTTTTAAATTAAAGACTAAATATTTAAAAGTGTTAAATTAAACGACATAATGCCGATGAATATAACTATCCGGGAATAGGAATGAAAAATTAAGTATCCAATATATAGGGCCAAATTTGAAATTATGTACAATTATGTATCCACGTGAGCAGACGTGTCTAAACATATATGAAATTATATTGTCATTATTTACACTTTATGTGATCTATCTTATTGTATTTTGTGATAGTATCATATACATTTATTTAGTTGTCGATACAAACCACATAGTTATGAGCTAACTTTCAATTATCTAGTCAGTTAATAAACAGTAATTTTTTAAATAGTTGTATCTTTATTTAACCTGATTAAAAATCTCCATCTTACCTTTCTAATCATTCAGTTTTTGGGAAAAAATTTGTTGAATTGTCCGCTTGTCTCGTATTTCGGTGAGACTGTGTAAGAATATATTTATCTGTAATAAAAGCAGGCAATAAAAATTAAAATAAAAGTACTCTACCAGGAGTAGTTATTAACTGCAAAATTGTCAATGACTGAGATGTATTATAATACAAAGTTTTAATATTCCCATCGATATTTACATTCGGATGTGCCTGGTATTACGTTTGAAAAGATGTACAGTCGCCCAGATAAAGTTATCATCGATGCATTATTTGCCTAAGATAACAATATTTGCCTGAGCGACCGAAACCATAAAGTAGTTTATCCAAATAAATTTCGTTTCGACCGTCCAGTGGTTTACACTTGGGTAGGTAGGTATAATATTTTACTTTATTTTTAAACGAAATATTGTTTATTTGGATGAAATACCCGGTATGGTACTCATGACACCGTGAAAAAAAGTTGAAAGAATAATAACAAAAAGTGTTCCAATTCAGTACCGCCTAATAAAGGACAGAATTATAATTTTACATTGCGGTGTAGAAAATGGATGCATCGAGGATGTATTATTAATATTTGCAAAAAAAAAAATAAAAGACGTGAATCTAGATTATCATGAGGATATGGAGGGTTCAAGTATAAAAAAAGTTCAACTCAGGAACCATAGATGTAAACGTTCAATGTTTTTTTGAAAAAAAAAACAGAAGTTAGTTTTTATAAAACTCACAAAGAAAGGAAGTACGTAAAAATATGTAAAAGGACAGTAAACTTTATAATTTTATGAAGATACTTTTAAAATGTGGCACCCGTGGTGTGATAATAATTCTACAGCTGAAAAGCCAGTGAAACCGTCCAATCAATTGGAATATTTACAAAGCTGTGTAGTAAAATGTAAGTGACATTTTCAATATCTCTCTGATGATCCCAAACATATGCTGAAATATGTTTATGAAGGATTGTGTTCTAAATTGTCTAAATAAGAAACAATTGTAGAAACATGTTTATTAGAGTGTCGAAAGCATTCTGTTACAAGACTATAGAAGCAACATCTTCTTCTAGACAGATGAGATAGGATTGTGCAAATTCACACAAATAGAACCGCACCTAAAGGAACATATAATCAGAACAATATATAAAATGGAAGTGGCTAATATTTTTCCAACTATTAAAAGCCTTCGAAGTAAACTGGTTCGTAAGGATATTCTCTTATATTTAGCAACAACACTGATGATTTCTTAAAACCCATAATTTTAAGTAAAAAACTATAGACAAGCGCCAAACACTAATGGAAATTACTAGAATAATTATTTCTTAAAGAAACATTTCTATCAGATAGATAACTGAGTAATAAAAAATGAAACGAAATCTTGTTTATTTAGATGAGACTTGTGATACTCATGACAGGACAGAGAATTATAATTTTACACTGCGGTGAAGAAAATAGATGGATCGGTTATGTATTATTAATATCTGCAAAAAAAAGTAAAGACGCGTCTTTAGATTATCATGAGGATATGAAAAGTTTAATTTTTGAATCATGGTTTGAAGAATCTTTTCTTCCGAGATTGCCTAAACATAGTGTGATTATCATGGACAACGTATCACATCATTCAAGATTAATGAGAAAATTCCAAATATTACTTGAAACAAATTACAAATTCAAGAATTTTTATTTGAGAGAGATTTGTACTTTGAGGCATCATATCGTAAAAAGCAATTGTTGTAAATTGTTTATAGTAGACAGTACCAGAAGGTAAATGTTGTTGATAACTGTACTCGCAGTAATGGGCATACCGTGCTTTTACTTCCTCCTTACTATTGTAAATTGAACCCAACAGAGTTAATATGGACTCAACTTGTAGCAAATAAAAGAAGAAAAAACGCGGCTCCTAAATTTTTGTTTATTGCTCTCCAGTTAATTAGAAGAGAAGTCACAAAGATCACAGCAACCAACTGCAAAAATGTAATCAAACATGTAATCGCAGTGGAAAATGACTATGTTAAATATTTACCAGCAATAACCAAATTAACTATAAATTTAGAAGATACAACTGATAATAGTGATTCTGAGTAGATTAGTAAGTTCTTATTTTCAACTAGGTGTTAGTTGAAACCTTTATTTTTATTGTAATTGTAGATATTCTAGTTTTGCTTATATATCTTTGAAAATAGAGTACAAATACACTTCATGATAGAACAAAAACGTATAACATATCGTTAAGTTAAAATAACAGGGTTCCAACTAACAAAATCGCATATTTGGAGTTATTAGTGTGCAAAGGTTCCAATTGATCTTTCCTATCTTTTGATCTGATAACAGCTCTGGCTAACAACGCAATTCTGACTTATTACAATGCCAAGGTTCCATCCGTGAACATAAATAAAACAACTATTTTAGAATGACATTCTACAAATCGGCAAATCGAGGTGACACATGAAACCTTGTTACTCAACCAATAATTAAGATTTGTAGTTGTGTTATTAAAACGTTTGTATACTAAAATACTTTTACATAAAAAAATTGTTTAATTGTATGTGATAATTACTTTTATTAACAATTGTTTACAGGTATTATTATTTTACAATAAGTTCTGTTTAGTGAGCCTGTTGGTGTTATCACTCCCTAGATATATCACAGAAGTTAACAACACCAATATTTTTTATTTAAACTTTATAGAAACTGAAACTTTTTCTTAAATAAAATTAAATAAAAATAAAAACTTTTATTTAATTTAAAATTAGGCATCTACGCTACTGCTCAATAAACCAATGACCAGTCTAACATTGTTGCCATTTTCTAGGATTTACTCGGTCTGGTTCCTATAAATTTTCTCACGAAATTACGTGTCGACTATACTTAGAATAAAAGAAAGTCAATAAACCGGAGATATGCAGAAATATGCATAAAAGTCGATTTATACATATCCGTGCCGTGTCTGTTCCGTGCTATGACAGTGCTCACCAAAAAAAAAAGAACAACAATGTACTCTTATTAGTGTATTTATACATTGGCGTGTTCCGGACGAGGTCCGTCCGTGATCGGCTTGAAATTAATTCCAAACGATATTTTTGTTTTCGGCACTCACGATGTACGGAAATATCACGGACCGCACGGACTTGTATAAACATAATTTTAGTATTCTGTGAACGCGAGTGCTGGTAAAACAAACAAGTAGGAAATGTGCGGTTAGTATGCTATCGTTTTTTATGTACATACTAAAGAAAAAAAAAGAAAAACACATTTTGAGAAGTTCTGATTACTGAGACATTCTAAAATATTCCTGAAATTTTGTTTCGTCGTCCAATAATTCTCTGTATTTTAAATTCTCCTTCGGTCTCTTTTTTTTCCACATAAAATGCACACTCAATCTTCTTTGTTTCCTCCTTTTCTGCTCCTTATATTCCTCTTTATCAAGTAATAATGCCAACACGGTGAGATCTATCCGCCATATTTTCAACGCTCGTTTTCACATAAATATGTAATAACGTTTCCCTCTCCTATTCGGCCCGGTACACACACTGCTACAACGCGATTACATGTAAATACAACATTAAAAATACTCGGACTCGGAACGGATATGTATAAATCGACCTTAAATGATGACGCATGGGAAAAGAAACAACTGTAATATTTGGAATATTTTTTGCAATTGTTTTGGCATAAAACAATCGCTTTGCTTGCTTACAAGTCCAAGTTGATAAACCAAGTCCTAAATTTCACTATCCGATGACAACAATAATGAGAACTAGCAGGATAAAATGATAAATAAAGATAACATAAGCGAAACTTTCAAAATTCTCTTATATTCAATAAAATTCAATTTTCAAATTCTTACCCCCTTGTTTTTCCCGCCGAAAATAGCGCTCTCTAATGGACTCAAATTCTTTCATAGAGGGGGTCATAGAGAGTTCGACCACCCGGTTATTTAATTGAACTCTGCAAGTTTATAATATCTGCGTGGAAGTTTAGGTCAGGACTTAGAACAACATTATTATATTCAAAATAAATCGCTTTATTTAGCCTCTTAACAAGTCTCAATTTAACAAGTAAACAAAAATAAAACCAACTATCTACAGTACTATAGATACATACATTATTATATATTCTTAAACTATCTGAATACTATTGATGAATAAAGTCCTCGAGCAGCGTGAATGTCTCATTTAGTGCATCTTCTTTTGCTTGTTCTACTGTGGTACCCAGACCCATCACAGCAAATGACACATCACAATTGATATATAAAACTATAATAACTGGAGATTCCTTTTGTATGACCAACATATCATGTTTTAGCTCAATCTGGTTTAAAGCTCTGACTAGAGATTCTTCTGTACGTTCACGCAGATCCTTAAAAATGTAGTGATTAATGTAATATTTTTTTATTATGCACATTAATATGAACAGTTATTGATTTATAAGAAGTAATATTATTGTTTGCAAGTTGCAATTATTTTAAATGAAATTATTTATTGGGAAATATCAGAAAGAGGTTAAAAATATTCATTGACTACAAATACATAAATAAAAGGTTTTTTTGGAGGTATAGAAATATATATTTTGAAATTCATGGTTCTGATCGAAATACATATCACGCACTACGTCCATTTTATGGTCAATATAATCGTCCATCAGAGCAATTATTACGATTAACCATGGAACATTTTCGCACCACGTTAACTCTAAATGATAATATGCATCCACAGAGACGTAGTACAGTGCGTACAGAAAAAGTTGTTGATGGAGAGCGTAACATAGAGGAAGACCCGAATCAGTCTATCCGCCAGCGTGCACAGCAGTTGAATATGTGTCCATCCACTTTATGGAAGATTTTGTGGAAAGATCTTGCTTTGAGTTCTTACAAAATCCAATTCGTGCAAGAAGCTACACGATCACCTAGCAAGGCGTAGTTTCTGTGAATGGGCCCACAACAATATTGCCGTTGATCCTGATTTTCAGAAGAGAATTTTGTTTAGCGGTGAAGCTCACTTTTGGTTGAATGGCTATGCCGTATTTGGAGTGAAGATAATCCTTAAGTTTATGTTGAGACACCATTATATCCAGAAAAACTGACTGTTTGGTGTGCTCTGTGGGCTGGTGGAATCATTGGTCTATACTTCTTCAAAAACGATGCTTGTCAGAACGTTACAGTCAATGGTGACCGATATAGAGCCATAATTACTGATTTTTTTATTCCTCATTTGAACAACCATGATGTGCAGAAGCTGTGGTTTCAACAAGACGGTGCAACATGTCACACAGCTTGGGCCACAATTGATTTATTCAAAGATACGTTTTGTAACCACAAAGTTTCACGTTTCGGACCTATGAATTGGCCTCCAAGATCGTGCGATTTAACACCACCAGACTATTTTCTGTTGGGATATGTGAAGTCGCTGGCCTATGCCGATAAGTCTGAAACTATTGACCACTTACAGAATGACGTTCGACGCGTTATTGCCGATATACGACAACAAATATTGGAAAAAGTCGTCGAAAATTGGGCCTCCAGATTGGACTACGTCAGAGCCAGCCGTGGCGGCCATATTCCAGAAATCATATTTAAATTATAATGCCAAAAGATTATCCTTTGAATAAAGTCAATTTAAAAAATCGTCTTTGTTTTATTTCAAATCAAAGTTCTATACCTCTAAAAAAACACCCTTTAGAGTATTCTCCCTGTGTAACAAAACCGTTGAATGGGATTTTAATGACATCATGTGGTTTCGTATACATCATTATTTGATGTATACATCATTACATGACTGATCCGAATCTCTTAGCGACTAAAACTAAATTAATTAAAAATATATAGAGAAGTCTAGATGTGACCCAATTAATGTCAGAATAAGAGTTTATAGGTTAAATTAGGGCGCGTTAAACATGATGGTTGTCCCACATTTTGAAATATTGCAAACTAGTAAGTTTATGGCAAAAGTGGGGGAAAAAGTATGTTAAGTAGAATTAAGGAATCATGAGGAACTGAACTAATAAAATTTAAAAATTAGACAGGAACAATATACCCAAAATTGAATATTTTATATTTTCCGGGAATTCTCCATAAAAATTGTAATTAAATTATAAAATTTTAAAATTTTATACGTTAAATAATTTTTTATAATTTTATTTAAGAATTTTTTAAAAACAGTTTCCGGACTGACCAAATACAAAAAAAAACAAGTAATTTTAATTAGAATCATTGTATGTAGTTTAGTTTCAAAAAATATATAATACTCATTATAAAATGTTCCACAAGACAACAGTTTTTATCTATCTAAAATTGTTTAGTCGTTGTAGGAAATTTTCAAGAAAGTGCCCTATGAGAGAGAATAAATGGATATCCTGCGATATACTATCGAGGTGATTCTGGATAAGGATGCCTTTAAGGTAAACTATGGCTGACTAAACACGTTGTGCTGGTCTGAGACTCTGAATCTGAATTCGCTGCTTTACTACTTTACGCAGGACAGACTGCGTGGAGAAGTTCCCATCTCCAACAAGGCAGGTCACAATGGATAATAAGGAGCATGCTATAGATATATAGGACCATAGGATAGGTGTGAATACGGTATAACGAAATCAACACATCCAAAGCAACTGAGGATATGATAAAGACACACATGACAAACACTCACAGTCCACAATATACATACACACATACAGGGTGATGAATCGTCAAACGGGCCATAGGAAACTCAATGGGAAATTTCGAAAAAAAAATGTTAACATTGTTCTACGAATTAAACGTATTGCAAAATTTTGCAAGAATGTATGTATGTAGAATTGTTCAGACTATAGCTTAAAATCAAGCCACACGCGGTGTAAGAATGTGTATGGCATGTTGCGTTTGGTCATATCTGAATTGCCAAAATTTTTATTTTGTGATTGATTATTTAACAAACAATATAGTTGATTAAAAAATGTATTCAGTTGAGGAGAAAGTAGCTGTACAAATGTATACTATAAAAGACACTTGTTCATAATTGTTTAGTTAGGTGCTGGTATTATTTTTAATATGAAAATAAGTTGTATGTAAATTTATCAATTAATATAAATATGGTGTGTGTATGCAATCAAATTACGGTACCTGTGATGTTGATCTACGTCTGCTTCTTCCACAGTGCACTGGGGGGACTAAGGGTGGCTTCAGGGACTCTTCTTAGCCGCGTCAAGTTTACACAAATAATATTGAACTGTTTAGCGCGCCGATTTATACAAGACTCCCCAAAATCGAGGTGTGTGTAGCCTTAGTAGCTTCTCTTCCCTAAGTATAGTAGGGGTAGACTGTCCAGGGCCGTATTAATTTACGATTATATGATATACACACACGTTAATAAAATAATTAAATATAAAATAAAATAATAAGAAATACTTAATAAAAAATAAGAATATGGGTGGAGGGACGTAACAGTAGCAATAATAAAAATGCTTTATTCAGGCATTATTGCGAGAATTCTGAGTTCTTTATATAGCGTAAGATATCTCAATAGACCAATTCCAAGTCATTTAACAATTCAAAGGGTTTTACAAAATTTTGAAAATGATGGAACCTTGATATCTAGTTGTACCTGTACAAATAATATTGCTGAGGTATCAAAAAATCTAGAAAATCAAAATAACATAAATGTATTAACAGCAGTTGCAGAAAATCCTAAAATAAGTTTTCAGCATTGCAGACTAGTTTAATATTCATAATTCCACGGCCTTAAAAATTTTGAAAAGGAATATTGCGTTCATATAAATTTTAATGTCATCAAGAACTAAGAGATGGAGATGCTGAGCGACGTGCGGAATTTTGTTATGAAATTTTAGAGTGCTAATACAGACAGACAAACATTTAAAAAACATTTTGTTTAGTGATGAATGTACATTTACATTAAATAATGAACCAAATGTTCAAAATTATAGGACTTGGTCGACAAGAAAACCTGAGGATATTATTGGACCCTTTTTTTTTGAGGAAAATTTAAATTCAAAAAAGTTTTTAGACTTGCTACAAGAAAATATTTTATATAGACTTGCAGAAATAGCTACAGTTGAAGAAGAAATTTGGTTTCAAATGGATGGACGGTTTTAATAATTGTTTGGACCTGACTGTAATATTAAGTGGACCCCGAGATCGGGAGATCTAGCTCCAAACCATTATTTTATCTGGGGGCATCTAAAATCAAAAATCTATTCTGACCAAAAATTTACAGATATTGAAGCATTAAAATGCGAATTATTATAGAGTGTGCAAAAATAACGTCACGCGTTCTGGCTAATGTTAGACGAGAATTTTACAATCAAGTGGGATACTGCTTAGTACAAAATGGCTTGTTGTTAGAACATTTGTTATAATTTTATGTTTAGAAATTATCATAAATTATTTTTAGGAAAGATCACAGTAAAACTCTATTAAAATTCTTTGAATTGTTGTATAACCTGGAAATTAATTGGAGTGTATTATAATATCTTACATTAAATAAAGATCTGGCAGTGCTCGCACTATTGCCTGAATATAACATTATTGCGATTTTTCGTGCACTGAGTACATTTTATCAACTTTATTGCTTTGTAAACAGTGTAATTTATTGTTTACAAAGTAATTTGCGATATGCGGACGATACAGGACGCATCGGAAGGGCCAAAAGTGCAGTCTTGACTATGAGCTCTGTGTTAAAAAGCCATGACCCTACCCTGAAAATAAAAATAAAGCTCCTTAAATGTTACGTGCACTCAGTGCTTCTGTATTGAGTAGAAACGTGGGCATTGAAGGCGGAAACTCTATCAAAACTTCAGGCTTTTGAATTATGGTTATACAGAAGAATCCTGAAGATACCATGGACAGACAAAGTCACCAATGAAGAAGTACTGCGGAGGATGAACACAACCGCGGATTTGGTCAACATTGTGAAGAGCCGTAAGCTGGAGTACTTGCATCGAGCAATAAGACAAAAGAAAGAATCTAATCCTTATGAAAAGGAGACCAAAAAAGTGGCCTCTGATGGCGGACATATCCGGAAATGCGAATGCGCGAAATTTAAATTTTCCGACACTTATCAACAGTAGCTATAGTATTTTTCAGAATGTGTCTTAGACGAGAAAGTTTTAATTAATTATTAATGATAAGAGTCTAAAATGCGACACAATTGTTAAAAAACTTCAATATAAATAAGATTTCATGTAACATTTGGGACAAACAATAACATAACCCAACTAAATTTGATGTCAAACAAGGAGAGAGACTCTCTTTCCTTGTTTAATGTGGCCTCTAAAGATCGCACTTCCTGTCTAACAATATGTTTGCCCCCACTACCTTTACATTCCCTCTATTGTCTTTTTGCTCGATGAGTACTTGGGACATATAATGAGAAATCAAGGCAGATGCGAGCTACTCCAATGCATTTTGCAGGGTAAAATTGAAGGAAAAAGAGCCCCAGGACGAAGAGGAATATCCTGGCTTGCTAACCTGAGAGCATGGTATAGAAAGTCCTCAACACAGCTATTTCGTATAGCAACTAACAAAATCATCATAGCCAGAATGATCGTTAACGTTCGGAACGGACAGGCACCCTAAGAAGAAGAAGAAGGACGATACAGTACTCCTAGCTTCTAGTCAAGAAGATCTGCAAACACTACTTGATAGTGTCGTTGAGAGTTGTAGTGAGGCAGATCTGAAACTTGAGCAAGTTGATAAAATCGTTTATCTTGGACAGCAATTAAATTGTAACGCAGAAAGTCACGGCGAAATTAGATCTAGGATAGTGCAGGCTAGAGCTGCTTTTAGAAGGATGTCCAAGGTGTTATGTAACATAGACCTAAAATTGGCATTGAGGATCCGCCTACTTCGCTGATACGTGTTCTCGGTCTTACTTTATGGTGTCGAGTCCTGGACTGTGAATAAAATTGATCTAACTCACCTTGAGGCTTTCGAAATGTGGTGCTATAGAATAATTTTAAAAGTTTCCTGGGTGGAGAAAATTCGAAACTCCACAAAACTAGAAAGTCTTAGCAAGACTACTGAGATCATAAAAAGCATCAAGCAGAGAAAGCTGGAGTATTTCGGACATGTAATAAGAGGTCCCAAATATAGGTTGCTACAAAATATCATGCAAGGAAAAATAGCAGGCAAACGCAGTCCAGGCCGAAGAAGAACCTCATGGTTGAAGAACCTGCGAGATTGGTATGGTGTTGATACAACCATGCTATTTAGGGTGGCAGTGAATAAAATTAAGATAGCTATGATGGTACCACCGTTCTGAAAGGACATGGTACATGAAGAAGAAGAAAGTATTATTTATTGTACACTAGTAGTAGTAGTATTTGTGAAAATTTGCTGTTTATAATTTAATCATAAAATAAAAATATTGACAATTCAAATATTGTCAAATATCAGAATCATCAATATGACCAAACGCAACATGTCATACACATTCTTGTACCGCGTGTGGCCTGAAAAATGTATTATATTTCCTAAACAGAAACTTTGGAGTACACTTAATTCGTAGAACAATTTTAACATTTATTTTTAATACAGATTTCAGTCCTCTACAAATAGTTTCTTATGACTTTTGATGTAAAATAATTAGGGAAGAAGGAATTCAACAAGTTAGAATTTCCCAATGAGGTTCCTATGGCCCGTTTGGCGATTCACCACCCGGTATAGACCATTTCCAATCAGCAAATTCTCAGATCAGATTATATCCTTATCATAGTATGGGCACCAACCTGAATGAAACAATAGACCAACAGACCAATAATAACATACGCAGCAGAAACACAATCTGACACAGAGAGGACAAAAAAGAATGCTAGAAACAGCAGAAATGAAAATCCTTAGAACAATCGATGGTAAGACATTATGGGACAGAGCTAGAAGTACAGATATACGACGGAGATGAAAGGTGGAGAGCTTGTTTCTCTCTTCACTCTTCGTAGTGAAGAGAGAAATAAGGTTCCTGCAGGTCAACCTTCAACACTCAAAAGCTGCATTGGCAACGCTGGTTACAAGCTTACTGGTTACAACAAAAAGGCATTGATGAGGCCGTCCTGCAAGAACCGTTTAGAATAGGCAAGAAGGTTGCTGGTTTATCAACTAAACAAGAGGTTTTATACACACCTAAAAATAAAAGGCCAAGGTCATCTATAATTCATAGTAATAGAGTCGATTGTACACTAAGCCCGGTGCTCTGCATCAATGATGTTTGGTGGTGTGTTGAGCCTACTTTCAGGATGATGAGGCTTAAGTCCACCAAGCATTATAAGCAACATACTTGCATATTGGCTATGAAAATGATTACAGTTCATTATAGGATGTGATGCCAACGCACACCACACCACACCATACGGTGCAACACAAATATCAATGCAAGGGGTAAGTTTATTTTGAATTTAATCTTATCGGAAAGTTTAGTTATATCAAATATGGGAAAGAAACCAACTCTTGTCACTAGGGCACGCAAAGAGGTGTTGGATATAATACTCCGCACAAGCAAGGTAAGTGATATAATAACAAATTGGTATGTGTCTGATGAACCCTTATGTTCGGATCATAGACATGTACGATTTGACATTAATATACATATTTCCATCAAAACTTAAATACAGAAATCTTAGATATTCAAACTGGGTAGGATATAGAGCCCCTCAGTAGTAATCTTAAGGAAAGTATGGACAGTGTGACAATCAAGACTGTAATGCAATCAAGACTTAGACAGTTATGAAAGCAATGGTTAAAAAAATTGTGAATTTGCAGATTATATTATTTTGCACAATGATCTTGAACATGATAACACCGAAGACCTTCAATGCCTTTTAAATGATCTAACTCTTGCAAGTGAAGCTCGGGGTTTGAATATAAATATCAAGAAGACAAAAACAATGATTATAAGTAGTAATGATTACCCCAACGCAAAGATATATGTCTCTGGAGAAGAAATCGAACAGGTTAGGCAATTTAAATACTTGGGTTGTTTGCTGAACGAGGGTTGGGACCCCGAGAATGAAATAAAGAGCAGAGTTGAACAAGCCAGAAATGCTTTTTTAAGGCTTCGTAAGTTTCTGACTGATCGCAAATTGGATTTCAACCTCCGATACAAGATGTTTAAGTGTTATGTGTGGCCTGTTCTCTTATATGAAATGGAAGCATGGACGTTAAAGGCCAGTTCCATTAACAAACTTGGAGTGTTTGAAATGTGGTGACTGCGTCGAATGCTTAGAATATCATGAACGGACAATGTCAGAAATGAGGAAGTCCTCAGAAGAGCGGGCTTACAGGATAGGGAACTTTTTAGTTATGTAAAAAGTAAGAATACTGCATACTTGGGGCACATATTACGAGGAGAAAGATACACTTTTCAGCAACTGATACTCGAAGGGAAGATAGAGGGTAGGAGAGGTCTGGGACGTAAAAAATGTCATGGCTGCGCAATATTCGACAATGGACAGGAATCCACAGCTATGAAATGCTTCGCAATGCTGCTAAAAACAGAATTATTTAATCCTGACTATTTAACATCTCACGTGACAAGACGATGTACGATGGACGCCTACGCAGAAATGCACGGCACCTTAAGAGGAAGAAGAGGTGTACAAGAGAAGAAGAGAAAGACGTGACGATACGGACCGCAGGAGTGTGACGTCACGACTGTCACATTGTCATTATTACTTTCCAAACAAAAATTGAAATGTTCAATCTCAGGACTTTTTAATTTCTATAAAGTTAACATTTTGCTTCCTCTGCTGCTTTTTCTTGTGAGTATAGTGTTTTTTACGATAATACCATCATAATTCAGAGTTCTATTTCTATGAAATATATTTTAAAAGTTTAAATTTAAGAAATTCTAACCTTACTTTATTGATATATGCATTTTATTGCTATTAGCATAAAACAATGTGCTTTATTATTTACACAACCTTGTAAAATTGTTGTAGTAACTATTAGAATACTTAAATATTGCAAAAAGCGGAAGGATTCTATAAAATAAATGAAAAAATAACGAAAAATACAAATTATCCACACTAAACCAGGTTTGTTTGGAAAGTGAAACTGACAGATGTCATCATCGTCATCACTCCTGTGGTCAATTAAGAAGCACGCTTGATCAAGATGGATGACACTACACTCGAATAATACTAGTAAAAAAAGTCCTATGTCAAAAATGGATATAAGCAGTTAATGAATTTATTAGAAAATCTTACACCTACGAAAACGTCACTGCTTTTCTCAAATTTTTGCATCAGATTATGAAAAATTTCTGTAAAATCCTTCAATTTTGCCTTTTTATTAGATACCACTGATGCCATTAACTTATTGTAGCGTTCGAGGATATCAAGATTTTTTTCTGTAGATGGCAATGGTTGTTGGTCATCCTTCTTAGGGGCTTCTAATATTAAATGCGGTAGAATATCGTCGAACCTAAAACAGAGGAAAATATAAATAAGAATAAATATTATAAGTAACAATATAAATATGCCTATGACCTATGCAACAGTCAATTTGCAACTGTTAGATCGTTAGAAAATCAAGGAGTATACGAGATTCCAAGTGGGGACTATGAAAAATCGTACATCGCACAGACCAACTGTAGAATCAATGTTAGACGATAAGAATATCGAAATACCATCGAAAGGAGAGAAAAACATCGTCCCTTGCACAACATGTCTCAAATACAGGAAATACAATAAACCTGAACCAAACTAGCTACCATTGAAATTTAAAAAAAAACGTGAAATCAGAGGATCAATAGAAATAGAAAAAACAAACCACAAGGCTCAAGGCTTCCAACAACATGAAAAAATATAACTAACCGCTTAGACCAGGAGAGTCAGTTTACTTCAAGTACCAATAAGAAGCGTTACTACCTAACTTGACAATAGCAAGTGCGACCTTCCCGAAACGCCGTCAAATTAATGGTTTTCCTCAAAACCAAAATTATCCAACGCGTAGTCAAATCCGAAGAACCACATATAGCACCCGCGGAATCAAACTCGGAAAACCACATATAGAAGAAAAAAGAGAAGTGAAGATAGGAAGAGGAGAAGCGTAACCTTGCGCAAACAAGAAGAGGAAGAGAAAAAGGAGGAGATGCGTAGAAAAGTAGATAAAGAAATCAGATATAGTTTATCTCAAATTCACGAAAATTTTCAGTTAGAGGTAAGTAAAATTACTAGTAGAATAAAAAAATTCGAAGAGCAACGACGATATAAACACCGATTTAGAAAGACAAATAGTTGAGTTAGAAAAAAAATTAATACCCAAGCTTCTTTATCTAATTTTGTTTCAGTAACTAATGTCGAACACGAACAAACAGTTATCATCTTCCACAGTTGAACAAGGTACAATTAGAACTAGCAAAATTTTAAAATCATCTACATTATAATATGGCATGGAAAACTTATCGTTTTGAATTCGAAGCTGCAGCTAGAGCAAATGGTTGTACTGAGAAAGAAATGGCAGCTTCCTTGATAGATTCGAGCACGCCTTGGTAGCTTTGAATCGTCTTGCAATTTCTTCACAAAGATGTTCCCAGTTATAGCTCTCTTGTCCAAGATTTAGAGACAATATATGGTCAGCAGCATTTAAAGCAGGTTTTCCAAAGTCAGCTGAAAGTTCGATATTAAAAACATAATGAAAGCCTGTAAGACTTTGAAGCCGATATTAAACGATTATTCCATTTGGCTTACCTTCAGGAATCTACAGATTTTCTGGAAAAAATTGGTATCTAGGCATTCATAGATGAATTTCAGGATGTTAAAAAGCAACCAGCTTTTCAATTAAAGCATCACCAAACGTTAAGTGGGGCACTAATCTCAGTCCAGTCAATTTTGTTAAATGAACAATAAGAGGAATTCCAAGATTCCTTGAACGAATTACAAGTTTAAAACCAGTGTCAGTTTGAAGAAAGAAATAATGTTACCGAAGAAGTAGTAGTTGACAGGAAAATAGCAAAATACAGCGGAACTGTAAACGCGTACTGGGCTCAATGGGAATCTCGTATCTTTCCAATGGCCTATTATATCGGAAGTGGGAAAGTCCCGATGGAGTCCGTACAATTCAACAAGTGGTACTACCAAAATCAGCTATTAAAAGTGTGTTACAAGAACCTCATTTCTGGAGGACATTTTGGAGTCAAAAGAACACTGGCCAAAGTTCGAGACGATATTACTGGATCAATTGTCGCCAAGATGTAGAAGGTTGGTAATGCAATTTATGTAACAGTTGAAAAGATCATACAACAAGAAGTCGTGGTAAAATGGCACAATATCTTTCCCGAGAGCCTTTTGAATGACTTGCAGTGGATATTCTCGGTCCACTTCCGACGACGGAGAGAAAACAAGTATTTAAGCGTCGCAATGGATTATTTTTTAAAATATCGTAAAATTACAAACTTTCCTAATCAAGAAGCGGCTTCAGTAGCAGAAGCATTCATAAGACACGTCGTATCAAGACATTGAGTTCCTTTAGAGTTACATTCTGATCAAAGACGAAATTTTGAATCAGAATTATGGCAAGAATTAATGAAAATCTTGGGATTAAGAAAACTCGCACTACGCCTCTCCATCTGCAATCAGACGGAATATTCGAAAGACATAATAGAACTGTTTGTCAATACCTTTCAATGTTTGTCGCTGATAAATCAAAATATTGGATTCCTCTATTCCTGTTAGCCTATAGAAGTTCCGAAAATGAATCAACCGGTTATTCGCCATCGATGATGAGCACCGGAAGAGAAATGAAGCTTCCTCAAGATCTTAATTTTGAAATATTGTTTCCCTGCGAAGAAGAACGTCCATCCCTGACGTATATATCGAAAATAATTAGTATGCCAGTATGGATATTCAATCCCATACGTAAGAAAGGACTTTGTAAGAAAATGTAACGAAACTGGACAGGCCAGAACACCATCCTGCAGAAAATAAACGATATAATCTACCGCATCCAGGTTTTAGCTAGAAGTACACCCAAGGTAGTTCATATTAAGAGACTAACTCCATAACATGAAACTGGTCCATCCTGTTGACTTCAATAGATCGCTGATACACCAGTTATTTGAGGTGAATAATTATAAAGGAGGCAGCAGTGTTACAATAGTTCCGTGAGTTTTTTTCCATATAGAAAAGGTGCCTTGGCGAAAAAGAAGAATTAAAGAAATCTAGAATGATCGAGATGTCATCGATAAATCCCGAAATATTTGGAATGTCAAAAAATGTATATAAACACATGATACTATGATAAGAAGATAATATATTGCGCATAAGTCTTGACGTCATTGAAGAGTTGCACGTTCGAAATGTCAGTTTTTTTGTATGTGTCAAGAAATAATCTTTAATAAATAGTTTGGAGGTATCCTTAACCAATTATTGGTATTATTGAACTTCTTAACTTATTTTCGTCCAGTAATTTCATCAAAGAATGCATACAAATCCCATTTAACTTTAACAAGAATTCAAATTCTACTCTCCAATGACGGCATGCGCGAACACGACCGATTTTGGGCTATGGGAAGATCCTATCTTGTTATTCATAGTATCATGTATAAACACAAGAGGTTGACAGTTTAGAGAACACGAGAACAGTAATATTTGAGCGTTTGAAGTTGATAGTTGTCAATGAGTTAAAATATTGTAATATTCTCGGTGTTTGAATAAAGTTACTTTAAAAATGTGTAACAATCATCGAGCAAAAAGACAAAAGATAGAATCTAATCATTATGAAAAGGAGACCAAAATTCATAAAAGTGGCGTCTTAATATGGAGGATATATCCGGGACCGCAAAGACGCCAAATTTAAAGTAGCTATAAAATATTTTTCAGAATGAGTCTTAGACGAGAAAGTTTTAACCAAATAATAACAATAATAGTCTAAAATGTGACACGATTGTTAAAAAACTTCAATATAAATAAGCTTTCACGTGGCAGCTGGGACAAACAATAACATAACGCAACTAAATTTGATTTCTTAAACAAGGAAAGTGACTCTCTTTCCTTGTTTAATGTGGGCTCTCAAAATAGCACTTCCCGTCTAACAATATTTTTACCCCCACTACCTTTACATTCCCTCTTCTGTCTTTTTGCTCGATGTTAACAATACATACTTTTCTATCATTTGTTTTGCAGCTAATTGTTTTGCGGTCTTTTTTGTTCTGCTAGTGGCAACTGTTTTCGTAGAACCGATGCAACATTCATAGGTAAATTCCTTAGAATGTGGTGGTCCAATATCTGATATCTCTTTGAAGACAGGATTTTCAATGTTATTTTCTTCACACATCTTTTGCAATGGACCTTAAACAATAATATGTATAATAATATTTAAGAGTGCAGGCTTTGCGATCACTGTTCTTGAAATTGTATATTATATTCGAGATGTATATCTCGTGGTTTGTGGTCACCTATCAGATGAATGCAAAACTCATCGTCCTCGTTGTTCCTGTCATGACAACTAATAAGATCAAAGTACAGTTTGGAAAGGAAAGAAGAAACCATTAAGAAATTGACCTCATCATTTTGTGGATGATAATTGAATCCAATATGGTCATTTTATTTAATATATTCACAAGGAAATGGTCACCATTCTTTAGCAAAACTCCAAAAGAGTCAAAAAAATCTATATAAAAGACTGTGAATTAACAGTAGTACCGGAACTATCTAAGCTTTTAACAGTTGACATACCAAACTTCCAATAAGGGCGATTGGTCCTTTCACCTCCATGTACACCAATATCATGAAGCGCCACAATAGTCAGCAATAACTTACTTTTACCTCTGCTAATACCATATCATGAACACAAGTAAATTATAAAATAGTGCTGCTGGGTCCTTGCCATGTCTTATATCAAAACATAAAAAGGTGTAACTTATATATTTGGTCTAATAAACCATATTAAAAGACTACAAAATGTAAACTCAAAATATCTCTATCGAATGCTGCTGGCTCTATGGCACAGTATAACATCGAAACATACATCCCAAGATACAACAGTACAGGTTGCACACCTGTATGTCCTACAGGGTATCTCGAGAAAATAAAAATAAAACCACAAAAGAATGTTCCAGTACTAAAAGCATACACTTACTAAAACATCTGACCACACAAAGACACACAATTTTAACAGACATAAAAATCATACCAATATTACTACTTTATACAGTCTGCAAATTGGAACTAAAACCAGAGAGAAACGATGTTTATTATTAGATTCTCCTACTAATAAAACAAAAAAAAACACCACAGACTGTATAATTGAATATCAAAGAAAAAAAATTTTTTGTAAAATAAAATTTTTCCCAAGCACTCAGACTATGAAACTGAGATCCAAAACAAACTTTTAATAAATTGTTAACCTGACGAACTATATCGCCAGATTCCAAAATGTCAATAAATTCACAAAATAATTAAGGCTATACACAAAAATTAATCTGTTAAACGATATTACTATGTAACTGGGAATAAGCCACAATTAAAGATAAAAATACGTTTATTGACGTTTCAATTTCCACTTCGGAAATCGTTCTCAAAATACAAACAATAAATTAAACAAATTTTATTTTTTGTTACATAGTGAAAAATTCTTCTAATAATTTAATTTTATCTGACTCATTTATATTGACAATTCAGACATACATTATGCATTTTAAAGTAGACGACTTTAAAATGATATTGCCAATATTGTTGAGTTGCGCAGAATTCTCCTTGTAGTGAACTATCAAAATTTTTATTAAATATTTTAAAACCATTTACAAATAAAAATGACACATTCATAAAAAATACACAACATTTTCTAAATAAATTATCAAATATTGAATTTAATTCAAATAATACTTTGGTAAGTTTTGACATAAATAGTTTATTTACGAATGTGCCATTAAATAAGACTTTTAAGTATAGTCAAGACAAAATTAAAGAGTGATGATTTATTGGCAACTAAAACAAGACTAAACATATCGGCTATAATGGAGTTATTAACATTATGTACTGATAATACATATTTTCAACTAAATAATGAATTCTATAAACAAAATTTTGGTCTAGCAATGGGCTCTAGTTTATCTCCATTCTTAGCCGATATATTTATGGAAGATTTTGAAACAAATATCATTTCTAAACAAAATTTCAAACCCACAGTATGGTGGAGGTATGTAGATGATGTATTCTCAATATGGCCTCATGGATCAGAGTTGTTGGACACATTCCTAAATGATATAAACGATAAAGAAGAGACAATAACATTTACCATGGAAAAGGAATATAATAACACGCTACCTTTCCTGGATGTTTTAATCTCTAAGAACGATACTGGATATGAGACTCAGGTGTATAGAAAACCAACACACAATAGATATTTAAATTTCAAATCAAATCAGAATATTAATGTAAAAAAGGGAATAATTAAATCCTTATACGTTCTTGGAGGAGAAACATTTGTTAACATCTGTTTTATTAAAAAATGATTATCGTTTATAAATAAGGAATTTTCAACAATCGATCGAATAGAGCAGAACAACTTAGAACGAGATCCTACAGCATACACAAGGAATAATATGAGGAAAATAACAATACTGTACATAAAAGGATTATCAGAAAAACTTAAAAGGATAGGAAATAAATTCAACATTTCAACAACATTCAAAACAACAAACATGTTGAGATCTATTTTGTCCAAAACCAAACCTAACAATGAACAAGAAAGGACAAAGAATTACATTTATAAAATACCTTGTGAATGCGATCAGTTTTATTTAGGTGAATCATCAAGGCCATTAAATGTTAGAATAAGTGAACATCAATCTTATATTAAAAATAGAGAATTTGATAGATCTCAAATATGTAAACACGCATGGGATAATGAACATAGGGTTGAATGGAATAATTCAAATGTAGTCCTAAAAGAAACGGATGGTAAAAAAGAAAAATCAAAGACGCGGCTCTAATTATGCTAAATGAGGCCAACTGTGTCGCAAATTCCTCGGCAGAATGTAGTAGGATGTGGTTACCAATATTGAAAGAGGAAGTTATTAATAAGAAAATACCAGTATTAGTAGGTCAGTAACATATAGAGGATACATCATTTATGTTTTTTAAATAACGTAACAGAACATTATAAAATCAGAATTTTGATGTTTGTTGAAGGTAAACTAAATTCACGAACAAATACTTACAATGTCGTGATAGTATTATGAGGTTTTTTTCCCTCATAATTTACTATGGAGTCACTAACAGGAGAATTTTACTGTCATCATGCCATGTGTTTGTCTTTTTAAAGACGAATTACATGCTATGATTTTTTCTGACGGATATTCTCAAGTTAAAGATGATTCCATGTAATCGAATGAACTATCTTATAAGTAAAGTCGTCCCAGGAGCGCAACTCAACAATATTGGCAATATCATTTTAAAGTTGTCTACTTTAAAATGCATAATGTATGTCTGAATTGTCAATATAAATGAGTCAGATAAAATTAAATTATTAGAAGAATTTTTCACTATGTAACAAAAAACAAAATTTGTTTAATTTACTGTTTGTATTTTGAGAACGATTTCCGAAGTGGAAATTGAAACGTCAATAAACATATTTTTATCTTTAATTGTGGCTTATTCCCAGTTAAATAGTAATTAATTTACAATGCCACAAGAAAATAGCTTCAGAAAGATATCAAAAGACATCTAAAATGTCAATAAAATTTGACAAAGGCTAAACTCAAATATTTAATCTGATGAACTATATTAAAATATTAAAAAAGAAAAGAGAAGAAGAAAATTTAAATAATTTATTTATAATTATATTATTAATAACTTCAATGGGAGCTTTCGAGACATAATTCAACAACAAAGATAAGTGCTTATAGCAACTTACCAGATGTAAAGAGAAGGTGTTTCACCCAAGGCAATTTAAAAATAAAGACTTAGATTTTGTTTATTCGTTTACTCATTTAAAAAGACACTACTGTATTTTTTAAAGATTCTTTAAAACACAAATTAAAACCTAAGACAGAATAGAATTTGAAATATGTGAAACACAGAATGAAAGTTAAAAATGCTACAAGACATCCCAAAAGTAATCTTCCATTTTTACCTAAAACTACTGACCTAAGCAACCAACTTCTTGATGAATACGGTGACACTCTGGAGGAATACAGTGATACACTGGAGAAATACAGTGACACCCTGGATGTAACTCTTCTTTTTTACCTACCGCCCAGATAAATAGCTTTTAAAAATGTTTTAAGATTTACACATGGATAGGGAGGGATCAGTTTTCTGTGGTTTCCTGATCCCATTTGCACAATTATACCTGTCCATAAGGAGGATACAGTTAAAGTATACATCAAAATGAAATAAGGTCAACATTCATATTAATCAATCATTTAAAATTATTTTCTCATTCACATTCAACTATTTCACAATTAAATAAAAAATAATTCTGAAAAGAACCATTTTAGCATATAAGCCCTTTCTCCTCTGACCACCCTCTGAAGATGACCTCCTGTACAGAAGAACAACAACTACCAATGAATACCACTGGTGACCAACAACAGAACTTGTGCACAGTTCCTGAAACCTAAACAGGACTCACAAAAATCCAACAATGAAAAAGACCCAATAGCCATATACCAAACAACAACAGTGAAAACTTTCCCATATAAACTGTAAATTAGGAACATTTAATTATGGTGTGTAGTTGTAAATATGAGAAAAGTAAATTTTTAATCAACAGGGGATACATAGACCAAGATAATGAGAAATATGGAAATATATGCTTGGTGGAGGAAGGCGATGGATAGGAACAACTGGAAGAGAATTCTTGGGGAGGCTAGGACCCACACAGGGTTGTAAAGCCACAATGATGATGATAATGATGATGATACATAAATAAATAGTCATATTTACCTATACAGTTAATATTTGCACTTCTGGAACTACCATGTTCTAAATTATTTTCTTTTTGCAAAACAGTGACTTCTTCAACAGGTAGTTCCTTTGGGTCATAAATACCTTCTTCTTCCAATAATTTTAAGGCATTATATGCAGCCTCCTGTTTGCTAATTTTTTTTGATCTGCCGGTTCCCATTGCTTCCCTTCCACATGCTTTCACTAGGTAATCATATCGATTGTTGTGAGTTCCATCAATACTATTAACTATTTGGTAAAGAGGAGATACAAAACCTTTTTTTACTGTTAGTTTATGAAGTACCACTACTGGATTTTCGGCAATGTTAGCCATTTTACCTAAAAAATCACAAAACTAAGTACAAACTTAGTATTTTATAATTATATTAACCAGATATATTTGTCTTATTATATTATATTTAAGTTGTGACTTTCTTAAGTTAGGGCAGTTTATTAAAGTTTTATTTTTATTATTTTTTACTATATTTACACCAAACAAATGGTGTTCATTCAAAAACTATCTGGTAAATATTATTTTTCTATTTGTATATATACAAATATATAAACAATTATACAGTTTCAAAAATATAAACATTAAACCTTTTGATTTATTGTTTTAATTTACGCAGTTTTATTTTGTTAATAAACTACATTGTTGAACTACATATGAATAAATCTTTGTTTTGATTTTGTTTGAATTAGTATTGGCTATGAGCACCACCTGTTGAGCACGACCACAGTTACACAGTATAGCCATCGAGCAATAAGACAAAAGAGGGAATCTAATCCTTATGAAAAGGAGACCAAAAAAGTGGCCTCTGATGGCGGACATATCCGGAAATGCGAATGCGCCAAATTTAAATTTTCCGACACTTATTAACAGTAACTATATAATATTTTTCAAAATGTGTCTTGGACAAGAAAGTTTTAATCGGTAATAGTCTAAAATGCGACACAATTGTTAAAAAACTTCAATATAAATAAGATTCCATGTGACATTTGAGAGAAACAATAACATAACCCAACTAAATTTGATGTCAAACAAGGAGTGAGACTCTTCTTCTTCTTCTTCTGTTTTTTTATGGCTTCGCTGCGAGGCGATTCGCCAGCACTATTTGATGGCGACCCTGATGTAATCTGGTTCTAAACCATATCAGGGCCGCTGACCTTGCGTAAGGTGGTAGTAGCACAGTATAGACAACAATGTCTGAATTTTTAAATTTGAGGTTAGGTAGTTATAAACACATATTGTAAACAAATGGTAATGGAAGGGTTATTACACAATAAACAGGACGCCACAAAGGAAAAACTGAAAAGCAAAAACATTGAATTAAAGTTGAGCATCGTAAATTACAAATTAATTTTATTATAGTTAAGAAACTGTAAGATTGCACTGACTGACTTTTCATTAGGAGATATTAGGATTGTATCTATTGAGATTGGTGTTTGGAATTTCATTGAAATAAAAATTGAATATAAATCTATGTTAGGAATAACATTAATGGGACATTCAAAGAAAATGTGGTTTAAATCCTCCACTATTCCGCATTCACATGCGGGACTGTCTATTATTTTGATTTTAAAAAGATGTTGTTTAGTTAAGCAATGACCTGTTCTCATTCTTATTATTGTGGTGATGTGTCTTCTGTTTTTAAATGTTAGAGTTGAGAACCATGCCTTAAAGGAGAAAGAGGTTTGGATTCTCTTATATTGGTAGGTAAAAGAGAGTGAGACTCTCTTTTATTGTTTAATGTGGCCTCTAAAGATCGCACTTCTTGTCTAACAATATTTTTGCCCCCACTACCTTTACATTCCCTCTTTTGTCTTTTTGCTCGATGCGCCTGCAGAAATTTTAAATAGAAGTGACCCCACTTTATATAAATTGTGACGGTCAAGCATTTTTATATGAAAAATGCTTTACACAAATCCAGAGATATGTAATTCGCTGTGAGCCGATGAGTAGAGGGGATTTGACAGTTTTCACCAACGCTGTTAGTGGCAGTTTTGTGCATTAAACTTGTAAACATTCAAATAATGGCAAATATGGATTTTTCAAAAAGAAAAATATATGATACATGTAAAAATACTGGGTACAACAGTCATTGTAAATTTTATTCATTTCCTGTTGCCAAGCATAAAATAGTTCAAAAAGAAAAATGGATTATTGCTATCAACGAGAAAAATAAGTAAATAACCTATAATGCAAACATGATATTTGTATGGTGTAAAATTAAAAAGCTATTATATTCCGAAACATTGCGTACATGCCCTGCATCAACTAAACCTTTTCCCTTTTTTGGTGTAGCTGGTTGAAATGGGATATCATGTGATATAGACTTAAAACCAATATAATGTTTAATATCCATTTTGATAAAATTAAAACAAATTTAAGAGGTGGAGGCCATAAAACGAAAGAAGAAGAAGAAGAATTAAAACAAATTGATATCTAAGCACTAAGGCCTACGCACACAACAGCAAAAACAGAATAAAAATGTAAAATAAAAACAAGAATTACAACGTTACAGAGGTAAAGGTAACCAGAATATAGACGTTTTAAGCGTCTATAACCTTAAATATTTGCTTTAACCATTAAATATTTTCATATAAACTTCTTCTTTTTCTCAATGACCTCTTGCGTAAGTAGTCATCCAGTCGCAAGAACTTATATCTTAAATATTATAATTATAATGAATAAAATAACAAGGCGTAATTACTTTTACTATTAATTCTGTGTATTCGTTCATTAATCAGTTTACCATAATATTTCAGTTCATTAGTTTTTATTTTTAAATAAATATCTATTTTTCTCGTTTTGTCATATTTCATTTACACTGATTTTACAAGAAAAGTACAAGTTTCAAACCGCGAGAGAGCGCTACCGGCGAAACTCACAGCGAATGGACCGCAGGAGTGATGACGTAGATTTGATTGACATCTGCCAGTTTCACTTTCCAAACAAACGTTGTTTAGTGTGGATAATTTGTATTTTTCGTTATTTTTTCATTTATTTTATAGAATCTTTCCGCTTTTTGCAATATTTAAGTATTCTAATAGTTGCTACAACAATTTTACAAGGTTGTGCAAATAATAAAGCACATTGTTTTATGCTAATAATGAAAGTATCAATAAAGTAAGGTTAAAATTTCTTTAATTAAACTTTTAAACCATATTTCATAGAAATAGAACTCTGAATTATGACGGTATTATCGTAAAAAACACTATACTTACAAGAAAAAGCAGCAGAGGAAGCAAAATGTTAACTTTATAGGAATTAAAAAGTCTTGAGATTTGACATTTCAACGTTTGTTTGGAAAGTAATAATGACAATGTGACGTCACACTCCTGCGGTCCATAGAGATATCTCTTACATATCTGTGCACAAATCACTTACCTCTTCACGTAGAACCATAGGACATAAATTGACTCGTCTGTCAAACTCATTTGTGAGGCTATCTTCAGATACTATGGCTATCTTCACCGGGACCATGTGAGACCAAGGCTGCCAGATCTAGGGATTTATCCCGAATCTAGGGATATTTCAGTTATAAAAGGGACAAGGGATTTATTTGATATTTATTAAAAAATCTAGGGATTTTTCACCGGCTCAAATATTTACCTACATAGGCCTATTATAATAACATTTTCTTTAGTTCAGGTATAAAACTACTTCGTATTAACAGTATTAAATAAGCTATCTTTCATTACAAATAATTAAACTACTAGTAAACTACTTAAGGATTCTATTATCAGATGTCGCTAACTGTCCACGTTCTGGAATCTTTATTTTATGCTACCAAATAGATTTTTGCCAAAAATAGATTCCTATATATTTTCATAAAGGAGAAGCAAATTCTGGAGAAGGAATTAGGGGATTTACAAAAATCTTAGGTTTTAAAAAATAAATAATTCGGCGATTTACAGTAGGAATCGGGTGAATCCCAGGATTCGTGGAAATATATCAATAAAATTCTATGCTTCACCGTCTCATTTCTCTTTAAGTTGTATTTTGTATGAATTTTATTAAGTGAATAATACTTAATAATATATTAAATGTAATACTCAAAGCCATAAATAACTACTTTATTCCGTTTTTGTTAAATTTATTCAAATCATCGCTATTGTACCGTTTAAAAATGTATAAAACAACAATTATTTTTTTAGGTTGAGTTTACCGAAAGTTCAAGCTGAATATAGCCGCAAATGTCAAAAATATTTCGGCTTGGCAGTGTTGGCATGTTTTTATAATGCATATATTGTATCACAGAACACTAAGTTGTGATTAGTATTCTGTGATTGTATGCTTCATATATAAAGAGATAAAGCTTTTAAAAAGTACATTTTGATTGATATATGAAGCAGTAACGGGTAGACATTTGTCTCTTTCGAAATTAATTGCAAACATTTGTTGTAATCTGGCAACTGCTGATTTGACGATTGCCAAATGCATCCCCTAATCTACCAAAGGGTAATTGCTAAAAAAATTCCTAATAATTAACTGCAATTAATCTCCTAAGAAACAAAGATTTACTCATTGTAGGCAACCATATATACATTTATTCCAATCTAGAGATTTTTTAATGTTCAATTTAGGGAGGACAAAAATTTTCACCTGGCAACCCTGTGTGAGACGTGAGATATGTCTAATTATTGCAATTTTTATTGCAGTAGTAATGCAATAAATAACTAGTTTTTTTAAGTATTAATTTTGTTATTAACGTACTGTATTACAAACGCAACGTTTTGTATTTTAAAGTAATATACGAAAAATAGTTTAATATTTTTACCTCATAAACTCCATCATAATAGACCACTAAAATTAACAGTTGGTACTGATGAAAAGGAACCTGCATTACCAACCGAATAAAGTTAACCTGCCACAACGTGGTTATTCTCTTTCCTTCAACTCATTGAAAAGTGTGGTTCGAAGTTTTTTCTTATTAAAGATTTGCTGTATTTTCAGCACTTTGCGATTTAAAAATCAGTAAAATGGTTGCCCAAAAGAAACAGAAGAAGGCTATTGAAAGTATCAACAGCCGTTTGGCTTTGGTAATGAAGTCTGGCAAATATTGTCTGGGATACAAGCAGACTTTAAAAACATTGAGACAAGGTAAATCAAAACTGATTATAATTTCCAACAACACTCCTCCCCTAAGGAAATCCGAAATTGAATACTACGCTATGTTGGCTAAAACTGGAGTCCACCATTATTCTGGAAATAATGTAGAGCTAGGCACAGCATGCGGAAAATACTTCAGGGTGTGCGCTATGTCCATTACAGATCCCGGAGACAGTGATATCATTAGATCCATGCCTGCATCTGAAGGTGGTGAAAAATAAATCAAGTAGCTTATCTTTTATAATTTAAATTTTTTTTCAATAAAATATTGAACCATTAGGTTATTCATTTTTTACTTTCCTCCATTCAATTTATTTCAATATTTAGTATTAGTTATTTGATGTGATCTAAAATATGAATTTATAATAACCAATTCTTGAGTTCTAATAAGTTTTCACGAGTTAAACTTAACTGAAAATTCTGGTAATATTGTATGTAACATTGTGTAACTTTTTATTTTGTTCTTTGTTGGTACAAGAGCTAGGGCACAAAATATCTTATAGCTGAATCTTTTACAGCTGTAGTGTGTATTTTACAGTTGCTAAAATGTATCATTTGTATAATAGCCGGTTCACAAGAATAACATACAAATTATCTACAGAATCAAACTTTTTATTTTTTTTTTTGATTTATGTAATGCAAAGTTTAAAGCACTCAAACCAGTTAATTCAAAATGTATTTAAGCTCTTTTTGGATACCTTTATGTAATATTCAGAAAAATTATTTGTTAGGAAAGGTTCTGAACTGTTTTCTAGTGCTATGTCTGAGTTAAATATTAAGATTCAATTGATTGTAATGAAAATTAAATTTTAGAATTGTTTAGTGCTTTAATTTCTTTTGAACAACTTTTGGTTATAAAACTTCACTATTTTTTAAAATATACTTTTTTGAAAGCAATTTCCAGAGTTGAAATCGAAATGTCAAACAATTATTATAAAATGTAATTTTCATTACAATCAATTATTGTACCTTAATCGCATATAAAGGACATTTAATTTATTTTACTAATTAATAAAAAAAAATTAACAAAGGGAAACAGCATTTATCCCATATCTGTTCAGTTTGAAGTATTTCTCAAAATTTGGTGTGTGGTGAAACAGTGACTACCTTTGGGTAAGTATCCGGGAAAGGGAGTAGTAGTGCAATTAATTTAGAAGTGATACACATGATTTTTCACCTCATATTGTCCCTACCATTTCCAACTATTGAATGTGAAGAGTGGTACTTTTCAGGAGGGGAAGATAACTCTTTTTTAGAGAATCCTAAATCAGTGCCTTGACAAATGGAAAAAATTTTTATATTTCATGTTTAATCCTTGTTAGATTGATAAAAAAATTACACTGCTTACTGTTTTATTTTCTTTCCAAAAAATCACATTTGATAATTTGTTTTTTGTGTTAATCAACAATTTGTTTTGGTCCAATGTTTCAAAATTGCGAATGTGGCATTTTCGTCATTTTATATTGGTATAATTTTAACACATTCATTTGGTGGAATGTTTCAAAATTGTGAATGTGGCATTTTTGACAGTTCATATTGGTCTAATGTTAACACATTTATATTCTTAATTGAAAAGGAGGAAAATTAAAATAATTTTAATGTTCTCACAAAGTTTATTACAAATCGTTTAACTAAAAATTTGTAGGATAAAATGGGAAAGTTGTGTTTAAAGAAATTGGTAAAAGTATTTTTATGAAAGTATGTATTGCTAGAAAATTAATGTAATTAGAAACGTAAAAACATTAATTATGGAACTTCACGTCCTATAGATACCTCAAGTACTCAGTTATTACCCTCGTATTGTTGTAAAATAATGGTAAATTAAAAGTTTTAAATTTTGAATTAAACGTTATCACTGTCTTCAGTTCCGTCAGGTTCTGAAAGACAATCTCTGGCAGGACTAGATGTTGGTAAAGATTGGTAATATTGGTGGTATGGCCTAGTATTAAGTTTTGTAGTTCACATAGTGACAAGAGGTTTTTTTGTACATGATTGGAGCTTCTATATGCTTTAACGGGGTTTATACTATTTTGTTTGGTTTGAAGAGATAAAAAGTTTCCGTTTCATGAAATATTTTCATTTTGCAGAGACTGGTACCATATACCAACACTATATTTAAAATTAGTATTTCCATTACTTGTTTGCTCTTCATCTTTTACTTCATTTTCTTTTTCATATTGATTTTGTTGGTGCTTTGGTTTGATTTTATTTTCTAGTGCAAGTGTCACCTTTCTTTGGTTGAAATCTAAGAAGTTGTCATGAAGTAGGTATGTCACTTCAAACGGGCATGGCTTGCAAGTCTTATGATTTGTGCCCATACTTCAAGGGTGTAAACAGGGGAATTTTTAAGTTAGATTCAATTTTTGAATGGACACAACAGCATTCAATTTTTGAGTGACCAGGTACCCGGTCAATCGTTTTTCAATTTGGTTGACAATTAACAACATATTGACACATGACAGAAAAAGCAAAGTTTTTCTGTTGTCCTCTGCAATTGCTACATACATGTAGCAATTTCAGTACCACCGCGTTTTCCCTCGGTTTCCCTATATGAAATACTGGATGTTTCCTTCTCTTAAATTATAAATGGTCAAATAAAAAGTATTCTCACGTAAACACAAGGTCCTGCAGCTTTTTTAGGCGTTGACAAAACAAATTGCAGATCGAAATTAAATGCTAATATTTTCCTATTCTCCAAAGCCGACTGTTTATCTTCATCGCTTTTTTTCTCGCTGCATCTTTTCTTTCGAAGTGTTTGTGACGGAAAGGAGAATTACACTATGTGGACGAGGTCCCAAAGGCAGCATTCTTTAATGTTTTTTAAATAATTCTAGATTTGCCAACATCTGGTTTAGACTATACCCAGTTAACTGAATAATCAGATAATGAGAAACCGATAAAAACAAAATGATAAAGTGCTTCATCGAAAGAACTTCTTGGGAGCAATAATCCACACAATTGTGAACAAATGCGTTTTGTTCTTGTCAACAATGTTTAGTATTTTCGACAGCTTGCAGATTACAATTGAATAACTGTATCAATTACAACACTGAAACTAATGAATGTGACACATTCGTCATTTTGCGTTGTCCAAATATGTCTTTAGTTATATTTATACAAAATAAAAGTATCGAATATTTCATTTTTGTCAGTTTGCAGTATATTCGATATTTTGACCAAAACAAAATGACAAAATTATCATATTCGATGGTTTAAACACAATATTTCCCGCGCTCTTTATCAATCTACAATTTCGATATTTTGCTACAAGGTGTATCACATCTAATGCAAGGACAAGGTATCGAATCTGACAAACCTGATTTTTCACATTTGATAGTTGGAAATGGTAGGGACGATATGATAGAAATCTCAGTAAGAATGCCAAGTCTGGATAATTCAAATGCCTTATATCTCTACTTCTCATTTGACAATGTGAAATAATTTGAAGTCTAATGTGGTGGAGTAAATGATTTGTTGGTAGCTCAATAAGCTCAAAATAGGTTTACTCAATGCAACTTCAAAAATGACTAAACATATTGTCTGAGGTAAATGTTCTGGTGGAGTACAGACATAGAGATTATAGCATTGTAACAATTGATCTAGTTTTCCCAGAAGATAAAAATAACCTTGTAAATAAATTAAAATATAGATATCTATTACAATTATATAGGTAAAGATTGGAATATATCACTGTTCATATCTTTATGGCAGTCACCTGTTTTTGCAGTCAAAAGAAACCAACAACAACTCCTGTTTTTTGGATTTAAATATTAAAGAACCACCTTCTAAAATTCCATTCTTACTTCCAATATGCCATCATTAGGTGTATTATGATTAAGTGTAATCCCTTACCAGAAGGAATCTTTTCTCCTGTGAATAATCTTAAAAAAAGCCTGTTGTGAAGATTGTCACATTTTACCCACTGTATAACCCTCATTTATCCCAGTTACTGACAAGTATTCTGCCATTCACCCAAGTTTCGTTTATCTCTATATTAAAATACTTTTAATGTCAATTTTATGTGAATAAAATTATAGTAAAATACGTTTTTGCAAAATTAGGCTGTTTATTTGGGCATTACAGAAGAAAAATTTAATCACCTGCCGTCTCTTAAGACCGTTATTCACCCAGACTATCATGATTTTTATAACTCATTATGTCATTTTTTTTCATACTATGGGAAATACTTATGTTTATTTTATTTTATGTAAGAATGTTTATGTTATGTTTGTTTCATTTCTTTAAGAATAAACATTTAATTTTTGTTTGTAAAAAAGTAGTAAGAAAGATGAAAATATGCTACCAAAACCTCATATGTCCTAAAATTAAATACTATAATCGGTTCACAATTTGTCGATAGCTCACTACAAGTTTAACCCTAATTAGACAACTGAAATACAGAGAGGATAGGTAATACGATATAATAATAAAAACCAACCTGAAACTGACGGTTTAAGATGTTTTGGACTAACCCACCTTGTATCTGAAGGAATACAATACAGCACTCAACCTTATAATCCGATTATTCTATCCGAATAAAAAGTTTCTTGCCATTTGTAAAAGATACATTTATTTAATTAAGGGGAAAGGCGCCAAATGTGGCCTGGCAAAATTTTCAATGTGTTTTAAATGTATCCATTATTTTCGAATCCGGAGAAAACTAATAAATATTTTTGAAAAATTTAAACCCCAGAATGAAAGATTACATTATTACTGAGGGCAGAAAGTCCCTGAAAACTTCTACAATGTTTATTTTAATATGTTATGTAACAGGGTAAAAATAAAAGAAAAATATAGTATACTTTATATAATATATAAAATAGATAATATATTAATATTGATAAAAATTTTGGAAAGAAAAATAAATGTAAAACGCATTAATTTTAATGAATAAACACCTCGGAACATCTATGATGATACAAATTTTACGACCGTTATATGACTGAGACAAATTTCGTGCTCTCAACAATTTGTGAACGGATAATATTTAAATTTTAAAAACTCATCTCACGTTTTTTTTTAAATCAACTTTCTGACAGGAGAACTAGCTTGACTTTACAAGAATTTATTACTTATTTACACTCTAAAGGAATATCTTCAAGTAGAACAACACCATATAACCCTGAAGGAAATGGTAAAGTCGACAGATACAATGGAGTTATATGAAAAGCGGTGAATCTAGCATTGAGAACCAAAAATTTAGACATCACTAAATGGGAAATTGTTCTGCACTCTATATGAAGTTTACTGTATACAGCAACTAATTTTACACCTCATG